AATTTCACAAAAGCCCGTCACAGTGGTTTGTTTGGAACCATGATGTTTACGGGTGGAAATTTCAGCAAAGGTGGAGCAATGCCGACAGTGAAAGAGAGGATGATCCTTTCAATGTAGACGAACTAGACCAAGCCTTGGATGACGTTGATGTCGTCGAGATATAGTAACCCTCTACGAATTGTAGACCTCCTGTCAAAAGTGATCAATTTCTTGAGGCTACAAATAAATAAAAGACCGATCACTATTCGTAAAAATTCGTTACAATTAATCATGTTTTACTGTAAGAATATAGATTTAGTTATAGCCGACTTTGCCGCAAATAAAACAAAGAAATACAGTTAACATTTTGAACGGACGAGTCCATATGCCTTTGGTTAAGGTTGTGGTTACTCTTGGAGTAAGCGGATTGCGATCAGTTACACTTGTACTCGTTATAGTTTAGCTTTCTTTAAGCAAAAGAGCTACGGCAGCTCCGCTGCTTTTGGTATCACTTATGGTCAATCTTTACCTAATTCGTCACGATTGATCCTCTGTGAGGATGGAGCAGCTCTCTTATTTATCCTAGAGCATGCAGGACGGGCTTAAAAAGCTGATGTCTCAGCTTGGCCCTGAGGGCGTGCAACACCTCGCTTCGCAAACACCTTAAGCGATCAGCGCGCACCTAGAGGCGTTTCAAGCTTTGAAAATGCTCCGCTCGAGCACCTTGAGCAGAAGATGTGCGTTCATGACGCCACCGTCGATGGCGGATGACTCCTCGTAAATTAGGCTACTCGTGGTGAAGGTTATGACCTTCGAATGTAAGGATGGAGAGGATTTTCTGCGCTGAGCGAGAGAGGCTGAGGTGGCTATGGCGTCCGCCATGGTCCAGACCGAGCAACAGCGCATGGTGCTAGCTATCTCTAAGCTCGGTGGTCGAGCGCGAGAATGGGCACTGACGGTTAAAGCGGTGTCTCTCTCCTGGACGGAGCAGAAGCTGCAGCATTTGGGATTGTTCCCGCCGCCTGATAAGGATTAAGCGCATCTTGATATCTCGGGAATGATATTAAATCACATGATGTTTCATTCGAAATACTCGGAAGTCGAATCAACGAGTAGTGTCTCCTAGTGTAACAGGTTCTGCTTTTGTAATGTATTAATTTGGACGTTTTTCAATCAAAAACCTTACGTATTGCACAACGTAAGTCTATCAGATCGCAAGTATCATGGACGTCCCACGTGCGGAGTCGTCGTAACGCGTATGTATTGTTCTATCATATTTCTTGGTGCAGATGTCTATAAACATATTATACTTAAATGTTATTTCGCGAAGCGTAGATGTCCTGTAGTACTGGTATTGTGAGGACAATGGGACCCGAAAAGGGAGAGGCCCGTTGAGCACATCTATTTTCTAAATTTTAAACATAAACATTTATATTTGGACATAAACAATGACATTACTTGAAAATCGATGACCATTCTAAGCGCTTTGACCATGTAGGCTTGTAGTTCCGCCCATTGACCAGGCGTACGAATCCATCCTCAGTGCGTTTGTTGGCGTGATGCCGTCTGCAAGTACTCAACTCTCACGTTGCACATGGTTGCCTCTCTCTTTAAATCAATGGCTGATGTGTATTCTTGGCAAAGATATGCTCAATGATCAGTCATAACAAAAATCAAACACGCTTAAAAAGCCTGTGCATTTGACAGCGCTTAGAGACGGAGCATGGGCGCGTCGTGTCAGTGGTATACAAAATATAAAAGCGCAGGTACACTAAACTTTAGACTTTCTAAAACAGGCTCTATTGACATTGCGACTGTCAAAGCGTCATATTCCACGACAGTTCAGACCACCAAAACTTGCCCTTCAATGGCGCGGAATTTCTGTTCACCCATCAGGGGGCTGACGAAGTCCATAGGATGAGTGAGTTTATCGTCGCGATGGCAGTAGACGTTCTTTGAAAATCGAACGCACTTACTAGGTTGAAAAAGTATCCAAAACGGGTGCGAATGACACCAGGGTCTTTTAATATTCACCCTTCCGATTTAAAGAAAGCGGTTAGGGCCCATCAAACCCACACTTAATACTTCGTATCGCGAGGGCCTGTCGGGTTGAGCTCTACTGACGCACCATAGGCGATGTGCCTCTGCTATGCTGAGGGATGAGGGAGACACGTTCTTGCTCCCTACCACTCGCGAGTGCCACATCTCTAGAAAAATTATTGTCTGCACCTCGTGCGGGAATGTAAGATCGAAGTTCTATGTAAGATAACACGAGAAATATGTCGAGCCAACAACAGCTTAGCCACTATCACAAGACCAGGCGAGAAGTAGTATGTATGGACTCTAAGGCAGGAATAAGCGATGGTATGATGTGGCCGTCAAGTACATTGCTAGCGATTGGTAAATATTTGCTGCAAGATGTGTTTACGCCGGCGCGGTCTTCTGTGGAGACGGATGACTGTAATGCACAAGTAATAAGGCTAGATCCGAAGTTTTTCAATATAAAAATTTGTCGCGATTGTATTGTACTGCTGAGTCTGCACTATGGTCTGATGCACAAGCCGTGTGGGGCTAAAAAGGTCCATGGTAGTAGATAAACTAAAAGGATTTATTATAGACGGGGGATTATCGTCTTTTAATTTCTGGCAAACTCGTTACGTCATCGAATCATTTCTTGGAGGTATATTTGATCAAGATGCTTTGATAGTTGTCTGTTTTGTCACAGAAATCATTAATCACGCCAGCGACGTAGATGATCCGTATCAGACCTCATGTTACATGTTTCTTGGCGCACAGGCATATGAAGTTGTGTATAGCATGAACAGTCGCAAGTGAACATTCACACCAAACCATTAGCAAGCATGTATGCGCTTCGACATGCTGTTCGCCGATCGAGAAAGTGTGTGTTTAGCCACAACAAAATCTTCTATCCGGGATTGTTTATTCGGAAAATTGGTCTTCAGGCACATCCCGCAGCTACCAAGTCCATTTTTATGAAGTCATTGACTTTGCCTAAGTGAAACTTATATAATGGTTGGCCTGGTCAATTCCTTACACAAGTACCGTGGAAATTATAGTGACATTGAACGACCCTTCGCTAATCGTTTCGATTAAAATATGTCATATGGTGCCGAGGCGCAGCAGAAGGAATGGGCATCGAGGCTGAGATGATTAGTCTCGTGATGGCCGCTATGCAAACACTTTCGAATATAGATTGGCATTGTAATGTTCTTTGTGATGGTTCGTCCTATTCCATAACAATTTTATACATTGCGTTCAAGTCCTACCCGAATAAAGCAGAAAAGAAATCCCCACATACTTTAAGAAGATTCTTGTTATGCAGTAAGCTCTTGTGCAGTCCAGACAATACTGGTTTGTCGTGGTCGATACAGAATATGCGTCGTTGACCACAACAAGGTATTTTTCGCATCTCTCACAGACAATGGCAGACCGAATATTCGTTCTGCTGAGTTTACATCAGCGTAAGATGTTAATTGATTTGGCTCAATGCGGATGTTATTGTGCTTTTGCGTCGCCACGAATATTGGAACTTGCATGATGTCGACAATTGATGAGGCAATTCATACACATCGGCCAGACAACATTCATCGCAAATTCACAAACTTCATATTAATGCAATTGAGTACCATATGCTTAGTGTGCGACACTATTTTTAAGAGTCTGTACAGCGATTTTGTCGTGCACTTTGAAGTGGAAGCTTTACTGTATCATAAAATGCACAAAGGTTACGCAGAGCACTCCTAGCAGGAGCTAAGCCGCGAGCGTATCTGCTGATCTAACGCTGTCAGATTACTTTTAGTTTGCAAGAGTATTTTGATGTATTAGTAGACAAAATTCAATATACAGGCGTTACATCTTTTATAGTCACACTTAACGTGCAGCTAGCAGCCTCGGGTCCTCCTTCTCGAGGTTTGAAATATTTGTAGGTTTTGTACTTGTGATCATTCAAATTTACAGCAAGTGCGATTCGAAATTCGTACATTTGTAACGTATTGTATATGAATACAATTGTACAAAATGTGTGAGGCCTAAATTACAGTACTTGCGCTGTCATAGCAGAATGTTCAAGCAATATGCCAGCTCCAGAGGCAGGCAAAGCGCACACGAGTATGTAGTCATTCCTTAAGGTATATTTAACGTGTCTTGTCTGTTTACATGTGCAGTGTCTGCAGACGACACAAGAAATTCGCGACCACATTGCATCATATAATTCACAGGCGTAGCGAGGTAATGAACAAGTTGCGCTTTGACTTCAACCCCATTCTGTGTTTCACTTGGATTTGCTTAGCCATAAATCGTTCCACCCAGTCGGTCTTAGCGTACTCATTTGAATCTAATTTTATGTCAGCGGGGAGAGAGTAGGCTGGCTCACTAAGACTGTTATGAGTATCGGAAAAGCGGCACAAATTCCCTCGCTGAAAAACCTCATGGGAATTCACTGCTACACCTCGGCAAGATTGCCCTGGCGTATTTGGGTACGTCACCTTTATATGAGAAAGGAAATGGCACCTACCGCAGTGATATGTAGAGGAGCAATTGGGACCTTACTTTGTTATACGTTTGAGACCTGGATTGTATCTGTCATAGCTATCCCCTAAATATGAGCGGGGGTATAATCAGCAAAATACTTGACGCGGCGGGGTACCACCTCTACTCCCACATAGTGCGAAAAAATTACCAAACAATGATATTATTCAGAATACAGCAGCTGTTGTGAGCGCAAGTTTAACTCAGACAAAGTTTTTACCCAAAAGCTCAGAAGACACGCATTTTCTCTCTTGTATCAAAACTTCTAAACGCATAGCATGTGCGTTTTCCGCCACTCGCAGTGAACAACTTACGACAGGATCAATCCTCTATAGCGACGCGTTCGGGTTGAAAAAAGTTGTTGCGAATTTCGCAAAGAGACGGGCAAGCTTAAGCTAGGTTTTGTTTATTGATGACAGGCTAGCTGATGTTGTAATTTTGGCAGGATGTCACGGCTTCCACCGGTTATAAGCTAGCACGGAGCATAATGTTTGTGTAAAAATAGAGACAAGGTGGCGAGAGAATTTTTGACTCTGCTGTTGGACACCTAGTGAGGGAGAAGGTGTCGTGACAAGTTTTCAGCATGTCCAGGTGACCCATCCTGTTAGAATGGATGCTTACCGAGAACGGATCCAAAGTTCGTCATGTAAGGACCGCACTTTTCTTGCAGGTCCAGTGATTCCGATGAAGATTTTTGAAAAAGTGGCTATGCTCAAAGAAGTAGGACCTCTGCTCACGGAAAGTGTAAGAGTTTGTGAGCGTTTAATGAGAGTCCACTTTTGCACAGCGTCTCAAAACGAAAAAATATGTCTGAACCCTATTAGATCATCATCGTAGTGACGAAAAGGGTCAAGGGGTACAAACTCAACTATTGATAGATACACATTTCGCTATTGTCCAATTGTGTACAGAAAATAATATACTTTTGTGCAATTGAGCACAAAAGTACCTAATTTTTATTACTAGTGATGATGGTGGGACATTCCAAAGAATAAATCTTTGAGACGAGGTGATTAATGTACTATTGTACTCACATTTTTGGTATAATTGTATCGAAACCGATAATATCAGTTGTATAGAATTAACATTACATATTTGTATTTTTTGTATTTACGTTCATAACCTCCGAAGTGTCAGTATATACGTAATCGATAGGACTCTGAAACGTGTCTGTAATTTATATTGGCTGCTAATCGCACCACAAAACATGAACGCAGCAATATTATAAGATCAGGTACGACAAAAAAAGTTTTAAGCATTACAAAAAAACCTAGATTGATGCCTTTGATTGAATTGCAAATCAAACAATTTTTTTTTATCTGAGAGAATCTCCGTTTCGCTTTTGTGTGAAGCGAACATCCTCAGCCCCCGTGCACTTGTTAAGGCAAACTGTTTTGATCAAAGGTTCATATGTACAGAATGCATGGTGCGACCCTGGTGACCTTAATAGAACACAAATTAAATTTACAATCCGAGCCGTGGTAGTTATTGGAATGTACTTTGGGATATTTAAGTTTGTGTGCCCGGACAATTTGTAAGTTTAGGGTCCTTACGCAGTAGAGAGCCGATTGCAAAAAAGCTAAATGCGATAATCACTCAACTGAAAGCACACACCAGACTTATAATGCGCTGATGAGACATGCCTAAATGAAGTCAAGGGGAGAACAGACTATACCCCCGTGGAATGCTAGTGGTAAAGGTCGAGCCTTCTGAAAGCCAGGACGACGATGAAATTTTTCTCCGGAAAAAAAGTCGAGATGAAAACATCATGGACCATTTTTAAAAGGAGCCAAAAGTGTGGCGTGCGGGCGTCAGCAGGTCGCGCATAAGAATGCACGCTGGTATGTAATACTTCGTTTACTATTAACACCGGAAAATTGGCAACAAATGTAGCATGCGATTGCTTTGCCAAATCGGACTTTTCCGGTGCACAAAAATCGGACTTTTCCGGTGCACTAAAAAAATTTACATTAGCCAACGCAAGCTCAGTGAGTAGACTGAGATGCTAGTGGTAAAAGCTCATATAGCTGTTGTACAGCCAGATCATTTGCAGAGGGTGCCACTACTTGGCCAAGTGAAAGAATTTCTCCCCGTCGGATATTTTATTGGAGGTCGATTTTATACTTTGCTTAGGATTGGCTAATGCCAACCAAAGCTTAACCAAACTCGCGCACACTCAATATTTATATACTTTGGAGATGAGAGTCACCCATTGTGACGCACATTTCACTAGTGGAAGAAACTACGGCGAACACGGCACTTATAGCTTTTTCAAGGGAGTCAGTGGGACTAAAAATCTCAGGAGGTTGAAGTGTTGGGTTGTCACCTCCACGTCCGCGTTTTGCTTTGCTCTTTTCAGAGCCAGGCATAAGATGACATTCCAGGCGGGCTCCGCTTCGCGTAAGCTTACTTGTGAGCCCATAATACTGGTGAGACGGCAAGCTTTTCTCACCCATTGCGAAAAATGGAGTCTGGTTTTAGAGTTAGTTTTTCCTGCTTTAAGTACCCAGGGTCCATTCAAAATGAATAAAGACGGTTGAAGAGCAACATTTTACCGCTCACATTTCTCTTCAGGAGGCGCCCATTCGTAGAGCATGAAAGCTGCGCGCCTGGGTAGCGGCCATCTTCGGACGGATTTAAAATGTACAATTGAGTGATTTACCAAAGTCAGCGCGACCCTTGCGCTCGATAAAGCAAGCTGATATTTTCAGACAGGTTAATATCGTAAGTAATGAAATTGTGATCAGCGTGCTGAAGAGCAGAGCAATTCATGGCAAAGACCGCGCATTAGGCAGGATCGTAATCCGTTTATTTGTGTATGAGAGTCGACTCCTGCTGCAAGTTTACTTTGAAGAGTAGGAACGATAAAGGGCAGACAGCCAAGGCATAATTGTTGCATGGGGGGCATTGTCTTCAAGTCTGAATCCCGATGTGGCCTATGTCTTCGAGAAAAAAGGTTGTAATGAGGCAACTAGAATAATATACCAGTGTACGAAATTCACATTACACTTGGTGCATTGTTAATAATGATAATAATTTGGGTATGATTTGATAAGCCACGGTCTTGGTGCAACAAACAGTTTTTAGGATGGGTGAGCTGCAATGAAGCATGATAGAATTTTTTTAATCTGCATTCTCACCTTCGTTGATTGATCACCCAAAAAAGTGGGTCCCCTGAATTCATTTTCAGACACCGTTCTTCTGCGCCACCAGGAATGGACCATAAACCTAAATTATCCTTAAACCCTATTCCAACCGTCCAAAATGCTAGCATCCCTGGATAACTAGTCATACTGTATACCTCTGACAAGGGGTCTGGCAAATGACCAAAAGACAACATCTTCGATACGTTTGTGAGCGCGATTCTTCGCGTTAAACGGTGCCACAGCCACAGCGTTGCAATAGGTGTATGACACATGACAGGTGCTGCTTTACATAGTGTGGTCACCAACCTCACTGAAAAGTGTGCCGATGTGATATTTCGTAGGTTGACTAGAGTCCAACTTTGTTTTCAAAGACTGCAACTAAATTAATGGCGATGGGCGCTTTTTTCTCAAAGCGTGCGGTGGTGATATACTAACCATGATAAAAATCTCGCATTTCCACACGCGACCGCTACATTTTTCCACTTAGAATAGCCAATTATGTTAAAAGTGCGGCCATGCAATCTCTGAAGCAAAGGTTGTACCTAACTTAATCAGCCACATAGCAAAAGGTGACACCTGACCAATCAACCATATCAAGACTGCAATGAGCTTTACGTTTAAGGCTTTTCCAACCGTTAGGAGTTTGTCGAATAAATTCTTGCCTATAGCGTAAATATATTATCTAAATTCAATAGAAATAAATGCTGAATCTCGAGTTACATTGCTCATATTCATCGTTGTCATATTCAGTGTCACGATTTGTCGCTTTCTTGACGACCAATATTATTGAATTCGGCCCGGATTATCTTTACTCAAGGACTACATTCATTTCTTGTAGCTCCATCTGACGGTAGATTTGGTGCCGGTTGCAAGCAAACTCTGCTATGCAATTAATGCCAGTGATTATAGCCCTGCCATACTATTATTTATCAATCTTTCTCAATAATCTAATGTCATTTTGTTCCACTTACTAGTATCGGCTGCAAAGGATTCCAACAAGATCATCATCCGGTGATAGCTTAACGGCGCGCATTGCGTATCAAGCTTCTACAGAATCAAACGAATTTGATGACGATTAACGGTTTAAACTTAGACTGCAGTATCTTGCACATTTAATTTGACAGCCAATACTTCAGAGTAGAAATCCGCATAGCCCCGACGAAGCTAAGTTAAATCCAATTATCATCTTCGGATTACGGTACTCGGCTAAACTTACTTGATCTTCGAAGCACCAGTCAGGCAGTTCATGTAAATATATGTATCCACACCGTGCCCCTCCATGGGCATGATCGCTAGCTCTCCGCCAAAGTACTTTGCATAAAGCTGAGCAATCCGCAAACCAAATGAATCAGAAAAGTCGAGTCCGCTAGCACGAGTCTCTAGTACATCTGCAACGGGATCGTATCCAAATGTTGACGGCGACGTAGCCTTTTGGTAATAATTTGCCAGAGCATTAGCTTCCTGGCGAGTGGTGCCACCACCAAGGTCTGATACTTTGACACAAACGCCGTGTGGGCCACCAGAAATCAATACATTTACAGGTGAAGGCGATTGTGCTCCAGCTTTCTTAGCCCCCATGACGCTGTTACGCACCGCATTCTTTAGTACTTCAGACAAGATGATTTCAATATGTTGTGGTATGTAGCGGTACGTGGCGTTTTCATTACCACTGACGATGATCTCGGGCAGTTTGTCCCCTTGAAGACGATCGAGCCACAAAGGGCGAACTTTGCGCACGATGTCGCGAGCGATTTGAACTGGTGAAGTTTCGTCGTTTACAATTCCTGAAAATCCAACTCTAGGTGCTTGAGCTGCAACGTGCTGGTCCACAAGCATGCGAATTCCAATGCGCGAGTTGTAAAAGTCATCAAGCGACTCACTCAGACCTTGTGGCTCGTAATCGAGCGCTTGGACAGCTTGAGCAATGTTACCGTGCATAGACGCATGTTGTTTACGAAGATTGCGGTGCAGTTCCATAAATTCATGCTCGCTTGCAAGGTTGACGGGCAAAGGGCAGCTTATAAGCCGATCAAAGCTGTCCAGGAGTTGCTCTCGAAGCGACACAATAGGTGCGGCCTGTGGCAACTCGTCCGGCAGATTTTCGAGATCAACAATGCGGCGTGCAATGCGAATGGGCACCTCATGGTGGAGTAACTGAGCAGATGTAACGATGGCAGGCGCATTTAACACGCGCCACTTGGCCAAAGCCTCAGGATCACTTTGCAGACATGCGGTAGTGGCGGGGCTGGCACGAGGTCCACGCTTCAAAAGAGCTTGTAGCGTGATGGGTGGTAGTGGAATGTGGTGCAGACGATAAACTTCAGCCAGCACTTTGGCTGCTGTTGGTGATCGCATTTCACTGCCGTATGGATTTTTAGTATCTCTGCCTGGTTATTGGTGTAGGGCAATAAAGATTTGATTTTTTGTGAAATGAGGAATGTTAATAGAGGGCACTCTTTGAAAACCAAAGTGTTACCAGCAGAGGACATAGACATAATTGACGGCAACTAATCCAAATACATCATTACTTTTAATACTTCCAAAAGAATTTTGATGTGAAAATATTTTTTTAGCACACAATTTCAGCACCAACGTTGATTGGTCGTGTTTTATGAGGCGCTGATAAATTCACTCATTGGCTAAAGAAATGGTTGCAACTTTAGGTGCTCAAAATCTTCCAAATCGAATTTTATGTCACACTAGTATGGGGTTACTCGTTGAGCACCCAATTTTGCGCAGTATGTTTGGAAGACAATGACAACTGAATCTTACCTTGTTTAACATTACTAGTACAATCATAGCAATTACATTGCTGAACCCTCTTACGAAACTCACAATGCTTTTTTGTGCAGTCATGAATATTCATAAGAATCGAAGTGTCGGAATTATAATGATGATGGAGCCTCCGTGAGGAAAATGCCTGTGATGCTAGCCAGACGTCAATCAAATAAAGCCAGTCTAATTTGGGTTATGGTAAATGTATACAGTAAGTATCACTACATTTATAATATGAATCCTCTGTGTATTTCACTCTTGAGAAAAAACCTATATATCTGGTTACTCTAGAGGACCTCGGTTTCGCTCCTAGTCTGCTTTGTTAATGCGGACTCTCTATGTTAAAACTTTCCCTGTGCAAGATTACGGCAAACCTTGTTGCGGTCCCCATTATCATTATCCTCACCAGAACCACTACTTTCGTCCTTTCGGGCATTCCAATTTAATGTGTTCGCGCAACTGCGTCTAGAGTAAAATATACCCTCTGCTCTTTTTCGTGCCTGCACCTTAGAGTATGCTTGCATCGGGATTCTCATCGCTTGTACTCTATCAAATGCTCGACAAGCCTCAGGTAAAAGCACAGTACTTGTAATTGACGTTTTTAAAACAATTCTCAGTGAGGACACTGATGTGTTCTCCGATGAAAACAGTCGCAGTAATTATTCAAGCCCCGTTCAAGTACTCCTGACTAGAACACTTACAGTCTAGCCATCCAGCAATGTGGATACGGTCACTGCACAGCGCCTTCCCTCTGCACGAGTTTTAAAGCACGTATCTTTTTCAGCATAAAAAGGTGTTGCCACACCACGGTGATGCTCAGCTATTGAGCTAAGCCAATTGATCTACTTCAAAACCAATTGTCATACCGACTCTTACCAAAATCATTCCGTCGATGTTGCGGTTTGATACATCCAAAGGTAATCATGATACTTTTTGTGCAGACCTTCGGATCTTGGTTCGAGCGGAAAAGTCTCCAAAAGTTGCACCGCGAGCCCTTTTAATTGCCATGAGTCACAGCAATAGTTGGGAACCCCCAACAACCATGAAGAAAAATTGCTTGTAGAGGCTGACTAGATTGTCAATGAAACCGTGCTCCGTTTGCACATTGATTTAGAACCGAATCATTCCACATGCCGTAAGGATTCACAACTCCGCTTTAGCGAAGCGCTGTCCGCTACTGGTAACATCCCTGGTGCACCTGCCGGTTCGCGATAGCACCTCGTTATAGTGTACCCCGCTATTCTCCTGTGGAACTTTCAGTTTTGGCAGCAAATCGGCCATCTAAACGAGGCACGATGCGCGAATGGAGTTGAGACGCGCTAGATTTTTTTTCAACGCCCGCCACCGCACTTCTTGGCTTGAGGCACCATTGTCTATTCTGTACCGCGTTGCTGCGTTAGTGCAGAAGATTGCTCAGCTCTAGGGTGGCAAAGATTCTGCCCTGTCTTCATCGAATAGCTCCTAACGCTAGACAGGCTCGTAAGAGCGAGATCGTGGTATGGCCCAGAAAGCCTACCTAGTACACTGGGTGTGTTTGTATTAACTTCCTGAAATTCAAAGTATAATTCAATATCTTTTTTGCTACGACCGTAAACAGTCCGATATAGCGCGGTCGCAACGTGTTTCTATAGATCACAGACATCAAATATTTAAGTAAATGAATTTTGTCCATATCACCTCCCCCACAACATTTTTGTTTGTATTTCACCTGCCTTTGGCATCAGAATTTTGATTTTGTCTGTCATGGCTATCAGTTATAGCGCTGAGCTTCATGCACAATCCTATTGAGACAAAATCACTGATGACGCTACAATGTGTAAAAACTCTGGTAGCAGCAAATAGATATTTATCGACAACTCGTCGCTTATGAAGTCCAGAGCCTTTTCAAGTCGGTCATGTGATCCCAAAGGTTAACCAAGCCAATAGCGTAAATAAGGCTGGCATATGCTGCGTTATTAACCGTAAAATTGGTGAATGGAAGAAACTCGATTCCACCGCTGTCTCTTTGCGTTCTTGAAAAACTCATCAAAAGCCACCACTGCACACTGAATGTCATACAGGTAGGTGCTGCAATGCAGTCAGCCATAGCGGTTCAGATGTGCAGACGTACGCTTCGAACGCACGTTACGTCTGACCCGTAAGCTGTTCGTATCGCTTTATCGATCGGCTACGTGACATAGTCGGAGCAACGCGAAAGCGCTTTTGTCACCACATGAAACTGACCCGCCTTATACCTTACCTTATGGACATACTCGGCAACAAGTATAATAGTCACTCTCGATAAAAAATGGGGAAACCACGATGCTGTGCGAGCCGACGCCAGGTCTGTATACATCACAGACGAATTAGAACCAAGCACGTTTACCTACATTTGACGAGATAATACTTCAAGCCTTGTTAATGACAGGGCAATTTGAATCAACACCTTTCAGCTTGCGGTTATCAAACGCATTCACGCGTTCATGCACAAATGCATCCGCTTGTTGCAGGCTCGGCCTGTTCCAAAGGCTAAAGCGTCACAGACAATGTAGATTGCCCGAGTTGAATTTGGGAATAGTCACTATTGTTACGCATATTGCTTTTGCTCGTAAACTCAAATACCACCTCTTCGGCTGCACGTCAACATCCCTGTTGACGAAGATTGGCGGGGGGATCGAGCCACATCAGCGTGATTTGCACTCTAATTGAATTGGCTATTGGCCAGTCCAACCCAGTTCTTTCAGCCAGTTTAAAATGGGGCACGGGTCAATCTTTAGCGCCTTTTATATTTGCGCACATCACATCCAGCGCAGATGCGATCGCGAATATGCGCCCGTTCCGAAAATGCTCTGTTTTCTTGCAGATATGCGCTCATGACTTTACCAGGGAGTAGGGCATAGCGCCAAAAGTCTTTGCCTCCCGATCAATCAATTTCATCTACGGCATGGTTTGTATTGAATCATACTCTAAGCCCACATCCATATGGGGTGCACCAATTAGTTCATACTCCATATAGTACGTGTGCTCGTGACCCATCGCAATACGCATGTACATTTGTCATGTTCAACACATCCGATTTTTGCTTGCGGCTTAAACAGCCACATGAAGTACGTAATTGCACGAAGCTTCTAGATCTATAAGAACTAACCTAAGAATCATAATGCCCGGAACATTGATATCAACAACCAAAAACATTTTGCTACACGCTCCACCTCTCCTGGAAGAACTAGCTTCTTTTGGGCTGTGTCCCATTATTTACAAATTTCAAATACTACGATATTGCCCAGTTCATTCTATTTTGCCGGCCTAAGTCTTTTAAGGCTCAGCGTTTCTCCATCAGCACTTAAACCCGTCCCTTCGTACTTATCGACTAAAAGCGAAGGGGTATACAAGGCACAAATGCATGCACTGCATCCGCGAGTACCGCAGCGCTCCCCGAAAGCTAAACGTTATTTTTCTTCTCCTGGAAATGGCTTGCTTTCATCGCCTCAGATGTGACCATTTAGCCCAACGCTTGTTCTCAGTCCAGCTCTTTTGACGCTATAGTTTGATTCAGCATTCATGACAACCCCCACCGCTTTAATTACAGAGGTAATATAGTCTCGATGTGAGCCACACCTGTTCAGAAACCTACAATGAAGGGACACAAAAGTGGGTCTCCCTATTTCATCAATGAATACAACGGTTTCGACCCTTTCTCTAATGACTCTCGTGTGCTCTTTCGGTTGTGGCGGAAAAATGACTCATGTAAAATAGCATCGCCTGGCCTGAGAACCCCCCATCGGTTCAGAGCCGCGACGTTGCTTCGGAATAGCGGATATCTCAGCCACGGAAGCTGTTAGAAATATAACTTCGTCTGCAAAACTCTCATGACGACCATCTGATTTGTAGAAGCGGGACGATGGTATGGCGTCAATATAACCTCATAAGACACGTGATGCGCTTGCATTCTCTTTGTTATTTTCAAAATGTAACCTAGTCTCTTTTTGTTTCACCGCTGTAACCTTGTAAGGTCCAGTTTCTCGCGGTTTCAAAAAAGAATTACTGATAGCAAAGACTGCGTTTGTAGTATATGGTTGTGTAGAAAAATATTTTTTCCCTCATCAGATTTGCGTGTGTTCCACATATCTCTGGTTTTGCTGCGTTGCAATTACTTTATCATAGCTCACAGCCATTGTTTGAGCACACTGCGCATAATGCTCATTCATGCCCATTGAGACGAATATATGATTTTGCTGCGAACAGTATTTGGGTGAATTCAGGTCGATTTTGATCGACAGCCCCTCATCACGACAATTGAAGTCACTTCAAGGTGGTGTTAAAAGATTTGCAGTTTGTTTTCACCGTTCATAGAAAGTGATGTAGACTCTGTAGTTGCGTGCACTGTGTTTTATAGCGCAATTTCACCAAGTGATAGCAATTCGCACCGCGCCGTGGTATCTGAGGGCCAACACGCTGAGAAATATACTCTACAGCACAATTGACTCATTTTGCCCGACCGTTATTTTTCGGGTGGTCTACATCTTATCTGGTCCCGAGCATTGTGCATCATGTTTGCCAATATTTCGCAGTTAAGCGAGGGTGCAAAGGCTACCAATACGCCATATTGATTTTGTCAAGTGATAGGTCATTACGTCTTTTCGGTCACATTAATGAAGGCAGTTGACAAGATAGTAGGTAGAGGCCTGCCACCTTGGTCGGCAATTGTAACGCAACTGACTGCAACTCCCACAGACCTGTTGTTTATATTCTGCGCTTCATTTACGTAACTATTTTGCAATCTCCTTTTCTCCCTTTCTGTACAGAGTGACTCCCAAGCCTTTTCAAACGAGGAGGTAGTAGTCCATCAATGACCAGATCATCCATCAAAATCAGCTTGATTTGCTTGTGCAGATCGCCTTAGAAGTATCTATGCTCCATCACTTGTGTATTAACAAAATTGTGGTGGTAAAAGCATACGCGTGGTAATATGTTAAAGTGCTGCTAGTTCTTGCATATGTAATTAGCCAAGAAAAACAGTCAATTACATGTTGCAATCAGATGTGGCGGAGATTGCGAGACCAACGGAATCATCCGAGGTAAAAACCTTGAAGATACGGGCCACACTTAACCCCTGCTGGAACCGCTAAGGGATGTATGAAAGAGAAATAACTCTAAGCAAACATGGGCCTCGTTAAGCTATGTAGCAGTAGCAATTTTGTTATCTTGAGAATAATGTTGTGGGTGTAGGGTTATCACGCCTGCGCTGATGCAGCGTAAGAAAAGCTTGTTGCTTATCGTTTTTAGTCTTGCTGCTAAATTGCTGCCCGTGTGTTTAATGGTGAGCTGCGTTCATCGCGTTGTTGAAAGACGTGTACGTTTGTCGTTTACTGTTAGGAACTAACATAGAGTTATCTGGGGGCATTGGGTCTGTCGTCATTGCTGGCGGATTGTTGAAGACATGTGATCAATTAAGATAATTAGACCCATTCTGTGTAATTCTCCTCACATTATCATGCCACAAATGTTACGTCTACACCAATAAAGTACAGTACAGTCGTCCCGCGGAAAACCCATATCTGAGTAACTCAAAACTTCCTTCTGTTGGAAGTTGACCCGATTAAGTGAACGGTCGGCTTCAAACAGTAGTTTCGAAACTACGTGCATAGGATACCATACATACAGTCACTTGCATATTTGTTCTCGTTCTAGCAGGTCCC